AAGACGAAGCCAGAATAATGCCATAAGCGGCAATTTCATTGAAAATTCAGCACGTACACCGGAGCCAGTAAACATTTCCATATTATTCCAAATGAAATTCACTCAATTTTCGCGACGAGATGGCCCGGGAAAAGGGGTGGCGCGCGGGGGCGCATTACTCTACAATTGCAAATAAGTGATTCACTATCTCTGGGGAAATTGCCACCCGCGCGCACACATGAAAATTGAGGCATAAACTCTGCGTGTGCAGTGTTTTCCAGGCGACGGCAGGATGTTGGCCTGGCGTGTGTACTTTGTGGGCCAGCTGATCCATCAGGCCGTATCGATCGCCGGGGTGGGAATTGTTGAATTCACCACCAATGCCCTGATTTGTTTACACTGCACAAATTGGATTATCGATGCTTATCGCCTGTTAAGTAGAGCGACTTAATTAATTTATGCAAATGGATGTTCTTGTAAAAACACGCAACACGCCCCTATCAATTTCATCCCCCGCGGCCCCTGTCAGCTCACCTGGCAGCACTGTATTAAAATGCCACGGAGGAGCTCCTGATGGTGCTCACTTTGATGATTTGTAGTCCAGTAAGTACGGAAACTGAGGACCGCTCGCTGTTAAATAATCTCAGTGTGGAGTTGGGGCGGAAAATAGCGGAGAACGGGGCGGCAAAGCACACCAGAAAATTTAAGCAATTGCAGAGCTTCAATTTCTTAAGACGGAAAAATCTAGATTGAATCGTGATGAATCAGAAATCAATATGAAAAGCAGTTGAGGGAGTCTAAAAAGCGATGGAAAAAGTGTTCAGAAGTGTCTGAAGTGCTGAAGATTCTGCAGAGGAAGTGTGGAAGTGTCAGGAAATATAAAGAATTGGACCAATTTGAGCATATCTTCCCCTTTGATATTGTGTTTCTTGGCAAAATTCTACCCAAATCGCATTCGCAATTGTTCGCAACTTCTCTACGGAATGTTCCCTCTTGTGTGTGAAATGTATACGGAAGGAGCGAATAAAATCTCTTGAGATTAAACAATAAATTCCCTGTCGTGCATTTCTCTGTCGCATAGCGCGTATAAACCGCAGAGAAAGATATTAGATGCAGACAGGCCGCCCAGACAACGTGACGCCGCGCTGCAGTTGGGAAGCTGTAAAAATTTTTGCCAAAAACTCAAGCGGACGATCTGTCGCGGGAAGAACAAAAGATTGTGTGTCGGAAGTCATGAATTTTGAATTTATTTACCATTTCGAATAATTCAATTGTGCGATGCCATAAAAAATGGCTGGGTTTTCTTCAATAAAATAATTTCCAGCAAAATGCACAAGTTTGCCGGTGATGCGGAAATGCGCTGTGTCTCATGGCGCTGTGACGAGTGAAATGACTGCAATTTCCCATATATGGGAAGCTCTGGAGGAATTTGCAATTCACCTCAAATGCCCGAGGTGGGGTTGGGGGGAGTGTTTTACGACACTTTGGGAGTTTTTGACTGGCTGTGCAAGGAATATATGGAGGCGAGTGTACAATTTTGGGGTAAATTCACTTAGTCACTTAACACATCCCAAACCCTTCAGCTGTCTCATAAAGCAACAATGTGCAGAGTCAGGAGACAAAATTACCAATTTATTGTGTCTTTTTGTCTCCAGAAGACCGAACTACCTTCCTCCGTTTCCACCAATATGCTCCAGCCAAAGAAGGGAAATGCTTCAATTTTCCCTTCTTTGGCACAGAGACACACAGTGTGGCAGTAATTTCAATTTTCTCCGTCACTCTCATAATTTCACATATCGCCTTGTGCAGGGAAAAAAAACAACGTGACTACAATCTTCAAATAGCCTCAAGTTTTTATGGTGTGAAACATGGAAGAGGCCAGAGAGAGAGAGATTGTCTGGAGGAGGGCGGAAAGTTGGCGCGCTGGCCATTTATGTGTCCATCACGGAGATTGTGGGCCAAACTAACTCAAACAGATGTTCTCTCGTCAGTCATTAGTTGGTGGAGATTTTTGTGTTAAATGACCACGAGAATGGCCAAAGTGTGGGAGTGTGGGTGGGTCACTTTCCTAATGGCTTTTTAGGATCTATTGATGGCTTCTTCTTCCTCAACATTCTCAACAGCGATTTGTTCCCCAAAAGCACCACATAAGCTCCCGTTCAATGGGATATCTTTTATCGCCCCAAACAAGAGAGCCGAAGAAGAAATCTCTTAAACAATTCATGTGCGTACATATGCCAATAGAATCACCTGCCTATCAGACAGATTAAAGGTGCTATCAAATGTCTGAATGTGTAGATTTGTGTGGGTGTTCTTATATGAGGCATAAGCCATGATTTGCCAAGGGCTTTATATTCTCTCTCGCAGTAAATGCAGCTCAATAGAACTTAGCAGAAAATGGACAAATACTCAAACTTCATGCCATGATCTCAAGAATCACTGGGATATAAGAAGGGCCATTCCACTTGCAGGGTTGTTGTATTTTTATCTCTGCTAAATATTTCATCTCACGTCCGGGATTGGAATAGAAGCGACGCTGAGCCTCGTCCTCGCCGGATAAGAATCAATTAGAGTTGAATTCTGAGGAGGATTACGGACTAATTCGTGGAATTTCATTGAAAAATATTTAATAAGACGCTGGGTTGTGTATTGTATCTCTGCACACGCATTGAGATCCCATTTAAATCCAATGAGACGCCCGAGATTGAAGACTTGGGATCTCAACTGCTTCCTCATACACACGAAGAGGCCCTTTTTTTTCCTCTCCCTGTGCCATGGCAGCTGAGCTGCTTTGGAATTTGCCACCCACTTCGGAACAGAGTGAAGCGATCAATATGTGAGGGGGTGTTTTGTAATGTTGAGAGGGAAAATCGGTACATTATTGAGTTTGCAGCGTGTTCTAATCGAATTTCACTTTATCTCCTCTCGATTGATGGAGGATTGACATGGGGATGATATGGGTGTGGGCTCCGGAAGAAATTTGCTGAGAACAAACACTATTTACTTACTGGCTTCGCATTTGCAAGGCCGCCCCTTTTGATAACATGGGGCATACCTGCGAGTGACTCCTTTTGTCCTCGCCTCGATTGTCTATCCAGTCAGTCATCATGTTAATAATACTCCATTAAATTTAATGGATTGATCTGATAAGTGGATGATTTGAGGGTGTGCTGAAAATTTACATAAACACCCTTCAATTCCATCATATGCAATTAGGTGGGAACAATTACAGGGATTGTTGGTTAACTCTGCATCTCATCTTGCACTCGTCTATCTGGACTAGTGACGTTTCCATCGATTTGCCTAGAGAAACATCTTCGAAATGCTTTTTTCATCCCGTGAAATTCACTAAAAGGTATCCAAGACGGATAAATTATTGAGATACTTTCCATCTGGTGAGTACATTATGCGGATGTGCGCGTGTAAGTAAAGCAGAGAAGGTAGAGAGAGAGAGAGTAACTCCCAAAATGAGGCAACAAAGTCTTGGGCATAATTAGTCCATAATTAATAAGTAACGAAATCACGCGGAGAAGAATTACACGAGAAAATTTGCAATATCTCTTCGTAGTCATGAGGAAGAATGGGAAAAGAATGGCGGTATAAAGTTAGAAAGTCGACAGGTGAATTCATGGCACATAATATTGCTTCTCCTGGAACATCTTTATCTGTCTAGATTACACCTTTTCCGGAGAGATATTGTTTTATGTATATTCCAGCAAGTATTTTTCTCAGGGATGTAGAATTTTTCACCTTCTTCCTTCCGGCTTTTTTCCTCAGCTTTTTCCGCCACAACACCTCTCTCTCTCTGCCTCTCTCTGCTTTTCCAGTGTTCGAGGGAGTGTTTTGTGCACGAGGTGAATGTAAAAAGTTCATGTACTTTTCACCCCTGAAAAGCTCATATCATTCTGCCTCTTCACTTCTGTGTCTTCCTTCGGTGCACATCATGGTTCCCTCATACGCATAGTAAAAGAACAATTTCTGCATACAAGAGGTCCCCACTTATTTATTCACCGTGTGGAAATTTACAGCCAAAGACACGCCTTTCATGTGCTCTGAATAGAGCCAAAGTATCCGCTGCGAGCGTGGCTGTGAGCAACACACAAAGTTCGAAAGGATTAAAGAGGGAGGATGATATGACACTTTTGCACCTCGTGAAGAGTCATCATCAACTGACAAAGTCACGTTGATAATAAATGAACATCATTCACGGATGGGGTAAAAAGTTGAAAACTTTCAAACATGCTCTTTAGCCTCACTATGGCATTAACACGCAATATGGGCTGGGCTTCCATTGGTTTTATCGGGCACAAATTGATGGTTCGCCACTTTTGGGTGATGCTCTTCGTCACACGCAATAAAATTTTCAATCGGATCCTCCCGAAGGGGCTGAAAATGTGCTGTCACTCTCTGTATTTTTATTAAGGGATAAAAAAATATTAGGGTAGTATTTTATGCAGTGCTGCAGTGTTATTTTTTCAATGGATTACAATGTAATCTTTCAACTAATTGATAGTCAATTTTAACGTGAAAATATATATATTTTATTCCGCAGAACATGTAAATTTAAAGACATATTTTTCAAAGAGAAAACCGTGAGAAACGCCAGATTGCATTTCTTTCTTCTCAAGCTTCTTTTCCCCGGAGCCAATTTGTCACGGTTCAGAGTTGAGAAAATGTGGCGAATTGTAATGAGGATTTGCCATAGTTTCACTCTACACTGAATAATATTGCCGATGCATGGTTTGGAAGAGAGGCTCTGAATTAATCTGACTTATAGTAAGACTTGGTCGAGAGATTTTCATAGTTTCAATGGAGAAACTGTAAATTCTGGAGAGATACCAACTCAAGGAGTTACGAGAAACTTTTCCCACATAACGAATTCTTCCGGTGGGCGAAAGTCGAGAATATTGTGAGATATGAGTAGATATATATGGAAGGAAATTGGAGTGTTACACTTTAACGAAATGGTCCATGTTTCGAGAATGTGTCTAATTTTCCACAAAATCTCTTCTTCTCCTCTGTAAATATGGCAATGCTTTGTTATCAATATTACACGATTTTATATCAATTTCCTCTGCTGCACAATATTCCTTCGCAGTGACAGGAAATTGTGTGGAAAAGGGACTTTTCTATTGCCAGTGGACTTGCGAATGTTGAGCGAAAAAGTTGGTGTATTCATCTGTGAAGTATTTCTTAATTATGTGCGACCATTGCACGAGGACTTTTGAAATTATGCAAGGATATTTGGTGCATTGCTGCTAATTGGGACATTTCCGCCAGAAGTTGTGTCTTTATGGAGGGTTTTTCTTGCTACTTCTTATTTGTGAGCGCATAGAAAATGGCGCAATACGATCCGGACAGCTTGAGCACCTGGCGAAAGAATATAGAGGCGCATTTTCACAAGAAATTCCGCCAACAGCAAGTTCGCAACTCACCTCGACGAATGTGTAGATGGAGACGTCCACAATTCCGGCCGCCTTGATGCTGCACGGTCTCTGGGCATTCTGGAGGATGAAGACGAAGTCCCTCTTGTCGTGCGGCGTGAATTCGTACCACTTGGTGTGGTAGAGAGCATTGGACAGCGCGGCGGTTTTGGTGAAGAGGATCTCGCCGAAGAGGCAGAAGATGAAGATCTGGCAGAACACCACGAAGATGATGATGGGACTGGAGATGTCGAAGCCGTGGACGAAGAAGGCGTAGAAGAGGAAACAGAGACCCTCGAAGCTGGACACGACCTGGAAGAAGGACATGTAGAAGAACATGTTGGACAGGACGTTGAACAGGTGAAGCATGTTGTGGTGCATGCGATAGATGTCCAGCAGGATTCCTTCGCGCGCCTTGTACACCTCGATGTCGTCCAGCTTCGAGATCACCTCGGCCAGGCACACCAGCTCACTGCGGAACTGAAAGGCCACCATGAACACCATCACGTCCGTGAGGCTCATCACGGTGAGCGAGGCGATGAAGGTGAAGTTCTGCATGAGGAAGTTCACGATGAAGAAGTACGGGGAGTCCTCGCTGATGAAGGGAATGTAGTACTGCATGGGGAACTCAATGCCGCCCAGGCGACGGATGAAGGCCTGCAGGAAAATCTCGGCGAACCAGAAACTTATCCAATACGATCTGCGGACAACATGCGAGAGATGAACGAGATTGCGGTGCAGGGAAAGCGGCAGAAGACTCACACAACGCCGTACGTGATGCCGCGAATGTGTGTGGCGTTGTGGCGATTGCGGGCGTCCGTGATCAGCTGGTGCTCCGTGGATGTGTAGAATTTCTTGAGCTCCTGGAAGAGCTCCTCGAAATCCTGGTAATTGATGACCATCATGAGTGCCTTGCCGAAGGATTGAATGTGCACGGCAATGAAGACGATGGTGTAGGTGGCCTGGATGCGATTGGTGCTGTTGTAGGTCAGCACCACGTGCTTCACATTGAAGCACGTGCTGATGAGGAACAGCAGCGGAAAGAAGTAGTTGTAGAAGCGAGCTTTTCCCTTGCGATAGCCGAAATTGAGGAGCAAAATGCACCACTTGAAGAACTTGATGAGTCTCTCGAACTTGTGCAGCGCCACTTCTTCCACTGCTTCCGACATTGTTCCGCCTCGACTTCTGCTCACTGTCGCCCAATTCGTCCACTATTTATCACTCGTCAACTGCCAATTCGGCGTCATGAAGTATTTAGAGAGGAAAAGTTTAATCATACGGTCGCTCCCTCGACGGCTTTTCACTCCTCCATCGCTCAAAGCGTATCAACACTATTGGCTCGTCTGGCGACCCATTGTCTCTCCTTGCAGCTGAATTACCAACCAATTTGACTCCCTGATTGGGAGAATTTTACCAAAACCTGCGACAAATTGACACAAAGTGAGGAATTTTCAAGCATTTCATCGCGCTCACTCGATAATTAATTTCGACACTGGCTTTACATGACGTGACATTCTCCACTACACTTCACAGCAACATTTTCTGGCAGGTGACAATATAAATTTGCGCTCTGCAGCATTCACAAAATTCTCCCATTCATCCAATATTTTGTCCACCAAAAATAGAATTAACATTTGCTGGAAATTTCGAAGTTATAGTCACAAAAGTTGTATTGTCTTTGCTGGGGCACAAAAGATCGCGCTGAACGTAAAAGCTTTCCGCTCGTGAAAAGTGCTTCCGCAGTAATTGTTAACATTTGTCGTGGAGTTTTTTTTTGGAAATTCTTTGTTCGCCAAGTCAATTAGTCATGCGGCCATTTGGGAAAATAATGAGGAACATTGCAGAGCACTTTTTCCTCCAAAGACTCAGAAGTGAATTATATTCCTTTTAATTTGTGAGTGAATTGGGGTAGAAAAGCACAATTGCACTGAATTTGCTTTGAAATTTGAAGTACAACAGCAATAATCGATGGTATTTGACTAAGGAATTGTATGAAATATCGAATAAGCTTTCAATTGAGAGATGCAAATCAAAAATTTTATTCATTCGAAGCGATTGAAAGCTCATAAAAGCTCGCATTGTGATGAAATCAATTTGCCAAATGCGCTCTAAACTAGATTCCTCTACAATTTAATCGGATTAGTCGATGATTTTTCAGCTCTCGGATTAATTATAAAATTCTCTGTTGCTCATCAGAAGTCAAAATGTAGCTTGGATGAAGGCATTTTCCACGCTATTAGTGTCAAACTTGTATTTATCGATCATTAATTTCCAATCAAACTGTGACTCATTAAAAATTAACATGGTCACAAATTGATGGGCTTCCGAAGGCAGATGTCATTCAAAAGTCTTGCGTAATGTAGCAATTTTTGACTATGACAGGCAATTAGAGCTTGAATTGAATATCGAAGGTTCCAATTAAAACATTTATGTGGGACGTTTCTGGGAAACAGTGTTGAAAAACAGCTTCGTATTGTTGTAAAATTGTAAATTGTCGAAGGCAACAATTTAATGGAAAGTTTTCTCTTCAATAAAATGAGTAGTTTACGGGAAATATTATACCTTTATGGCTGAAATTCTAGGTAATTGACAATGTTGGATAGTTGAAACTTTATTAATACACGCTTGACCAGAATAAACATTTAACGAGATAGAAAACCATTAATTTCACACTTCAACTTTCCTCCATATCAATTCCTCTGCTTTTACCTTTTCATGCTAATGTATATTCATGGAGAATTCATCAGAGAAACTTTTGCCATAAAAGTCCAATTAATTTCCTATTATATTCCTAGCTTATTTCAAAATATTCCCAGAGAGACTTCCAGTAGATAAGGTTAGTTGAACTTTTCCACTATAGCGTTTGAGGGGATCAATCAAGAGGTTAATTGTGTAATTTCAGTGACTTCACAGTTGATTTCAATCCAATTGAAATGATTGAGAAGAACACACTTTCTATGTCATGTTGAAGAGTCAAAATCCTGGGTGTGAATATCCTTGTAAAGAATGTTTTGCACATAAATTCATGTCATGAGAAATGAGTTTTGCAAAAGGGAAAAAGCACCGCAAAATTTCATCTTCTTGGCCAAAAGCGTACAAGAGCGTCTCCCAGATAAATGAGACGAACGTGACATGAGAGTAATTGAAAGCATTGCAGAGTGAAGTGAAACGTGAAAATGATTCCACTTTGTGTCAATTGACTGAGTATTTAGTGGTGGTAATTTTGGGGGGTGAAATAAGTTATGTAGATTTGCATTCGGCCCATAAATTTCCACTTGGAAGTGCTTCTGGAGGCCATAAATTTGTGGGCTTGTTGTCAATATAATTCTCACATTGAATAGCATAAGCCCATGGATTGCGAGGAGGCGCGCACGAGTTGGTGGGATGTTGAGCTCCTCCGCATGGGTGTAACGCGAGTGGTTACTTCTTGGCGCATAGAAGAATGCTTTCTCTCTCTGTGTGTGCGAAAAGGGTTGAATTATTGTTCTTTTGCATTGAAGCGCGCGCTTGTGTGTGCTGTGTGTGTGTGCTTTTCCCACCCCGAAGTGTGCATGGGTGTGAGGGAAAACATAAAAGTCGGATATAGAGTTGACACTTTGTAACCAAATGTGAAGAAAAAGCGACGAAGTAATATTTTTAGTGGGAATTTCTTGGATGCCAGAGTAAGATTTCTGTCGCCAGTTGAATCGTTATTCTTCACCATTTATTTGTCGACAGTCCATTTGGTCGTTCTTTTCTATTGTTTCTCTCACCCCTTTTTCCCTTTGCCACATCGCTGGCTCTCCATCGCAAATCGTGGGGTGAAATTTTGCAGCTTTATACACCCAACAATAGACACTAAATAATTCTCTGAATTATTCGCGACATCGTGTAGTCATTCCCCCTCCGCCACCCACTCACTCTGGCATACTTATCGAGACACATCAATTACCATCAAGAGGTTTATAAATTGTCCATGGCTATTGACTCCAGTGCTATCAGATTGTGCGATGGAGTCTCTCCGCACAAGAAGCCAGCAGACAATTCCCGCCAAGGGTGGCTGGCTTCCCCTCGCCCCCTCGGCCAGCCCCGCACACACAGCATGGAATATTAAATAAAGAGTGCAATATACACGAGTATTTGCGGGAATATCTGCACACAAACATCATGTGCAATCTTCCTCAACATCGCCGAAATGCATCGCTGAAGACTCCTCTTGTGCATGAATAAAATATCTGCCAGTGTCCCGAGAATGTGTGGCACATGACAACAAATTCGGTGCTGGGAATGTGCGCCCATATCCGAAAGAGAGCGAATATATAGTGGGAATCGCAAATGAGCTCTGCGCCCACCCGGCGACTCCACTGCCCGGGTGGCAATTATGATGTTTCACGGCAAATCCAAAATCGTCCGACATGGAAGTAATGCACAGTGAGTTTGGCGAATTCTCCTGTGTCCTTTCGAGGGCGCATCATGCTAACTTGAGGAAAAATATTTACCACGCCATGCAATGTATCTTCCCTTGACATGTTTACAATTCTGCAAAGTGCTCCTGAGGCATCATTTCCCACTCATTCCCACATTATGTCCCCCACTCACTTGCCAGCCACCAAAGAGCTGCCACGGATGCCACCAGAGGCCAGACTTCTCCCGCAGCTTCGCCATCCTCGGAATTATCCACCTTGATAAGGGCTGAAGAGACACATGGCGTTGAGGGTAATCTTGATTCCCCGAAGGGTGAACATGCTCCATCAGAGTGGCCTGTAAAAATACAAGGGAAGATTTGCGCTTGAAACAGTCTTCTTTCGAGACTCACAAATAGAATCATTACATTTTGCCAGCACAATTATTATTATCTATATAGTGTTTCACTGTGAGTGGACAATGTAACTCACCTCTCGCGTAGAACAATTTCTTGCATGCAAACTCCTACTGTCGTTTATTACATGCACCATTTGGTGGAATAAAAGTCACAATTTGCTAGCAAATGCGGACGCGAGTGTTAAATTGAAACACCAATAACTCAGTTAATACCCCGGTAAAATTGGGAAATAAGTCACAGAAGAGACACAAAATGTTTAAATGTAATTAATTGTTCCCACAGAAAAGTACTTTCTTCTGCTGGGGGTGGCAGAAATTTCACCCATGATTTCCTTCTTTCGCTCTTCACCCCGCGAAATGCTCTCTTTTCGTATATATAAGTAATTTTATATGTATGAAAGTGTGTCATGAATATTTATACAAAATTGCTCAATCGTCTTCCTTCAATTACAACCACACTTTAACATCCATTGCGAGGACGACTTTCCCGCGCGCCTCGTGAACTACACTACATCACCGCCAGTTAATTTTCCGCAATGAGGAAGGAATTTCAATGGGATTTATTCACTTTACATATCAAATGAATAATTACATACATTCCCATGTTGATGATGCCAAGAGAGGGAAAAATATGTCTAATGGGGGGATTTTCCACTGGTGGAGCGTCTGCTCGGCATCTCGTCTTGGCGGTAAAAAATGCACTTCAATCTCACATTTCATTTAGACAACATCCTCCCTTTCCAACCCTCAGAATGATGATGATACAATGATAAGTTCACATTTCCGCTTCGCATTTCGTGCTCCCGCAATGCGATACACACACACAGAGTGGAAATGACGGCTGGAAAATGCGAAGAACACCGTCACAATGCGATGAACATGGGCGGGTGAGATAAATGAAAATACCGACGATTTTCCCACCATAAAAAGTCATGTTAAAAGAAACTTCCGCAGACACGAAGACATCATTGGGAAATATTGTTATGATTCTCTCGCTCAATTTGTGTGCGAGGGTGAAAATTCAATGAGGGGTGGCAATGATTCTCGCATTAATTCACGCCACCCCGGCACTTGTGGGCGGAAAGAACTGTGCTCTCGATGTTACACACCATTCACACTCAGATGCCGAGAGCAGGAGAGGAATCCCAATGGCGTGTCATCTTGTGGGCTCCTCAAGTGCCATTTCCATATTGCTGCCCACTCTCGAGCGCCCCCGCCTTAATCATTCAATAAACACTAATGAGTATTTAATTTACTATTATTGCCTCTCTGGGTGGGTGTGCAAATTGCATAAATTTTACAAATTTTATCACACCGCAATCTCATTACTGACTGTGGAGCACATAATTTCACTACATTTTCCAGATTG